TATATATATATATATATATATATATATATATATATATATATATATATGTATATATTGATATCTATTCCATTTTTATTTAATATTTTATGATTATCTTAACTAGTGTAACAACATGGTTGAACAAACACACATAGAAATGTTTTATTGTCTTTTTCATTTGAGTTTTTTGGTTTTTAAGTACTTCATTTTTCCAATTTTTAATTTTAAAATTAAAAAGAGAACGTATATATTTAAAAATTTTATGGCTACTGAAGAAAAAGGTGATTATAGTGACTTGTTTTAGCCAATAATGCATTTTTTTAATAACTTGTTAAGAAAAAGTGACAAAAGCAGACTTTAATGACTGAACGACAGCCTTGCTGTAGTAATGTCCAGCATTACACTTTATCCATTATTATCAAGAAAAAAACCAATAAATGTAAATATTTTGGACAAACTTTTATACCTTTATCTTTTAAGAATTCATTTCATTACTAACACATATACTCATTTGCTTATTTTCTATCATTAATACATAAAGAATTATGATTGTTGCTAAATTGTATAAAACTTTTGTTCAGTTAATAAAATATTTGGTTCGTTAAATTCTACCTGCATATAAGTAGATACAAACATTGCATGAGATATCCTGTAGATACATAATACATGTATTTATATATACATATATATATACATATGTATATTTGGAATTTGATATTTTATACATATATACAAAAACTTACGTATTTCATTTAATTTCTCCTTAACATTAATACACAACTGATTAGCTTGTTCACTTAATTCCTTAAGAATCTGTTTACCCTCTTCTAATTCAGGTTGCTTTGATAAATTAAATTCTGCCAAAGATCTGTTGCTCGCCATTAACATTTCCTTCTCAGTCTCAAGATCTTTAAACTAATTTTATTAAAATTTATTATTTTCATTCCTTTAATTAAATTTCTAGTCATAAACTGATTTACACTGAATATATAACGATATCTGAATTAATATTTAAAGGATGCAATATGTATGTTAAAATAATACCTGTTTTATATCTTTTACAATGTCTTCGAATTTTCCATCATTATTCAACAGTTCTTTTAGCTCGTCATTATTTAAGTGCGACAGCAAACCCAATGCCGCTGGTATATCCGGTTCTTGATTCGATTTATACATTTTTTGACGGTCAATTTTCAACAAAATTTAAATAACTATTTTCAATTATCCGTTTTTGTTTCTCAAACAGAAAACTTTTACAAGACTTTTACTTCTACACGTATCTAAAAACATACGATGACAAATTCGTTAAGAACAGCCATGTTTTCTATCTATAGGGTTGCGTTCCAAAATGCACTGCCAGTACTAAAAATCTATAGTTTATGTTATGTATATTATAGAATTTCAGTGCTGGCAGTGAATTTCGGAACGCAGCCAAAGTTACAATGAGACAAGTATATTTTTTCTCACTTTAATGGCTTCTGCACACAGGACGCGGTAATGCTTGCCGCGCGGCGGAAGTTCGTGCGACAGCCAATCAATATGTTGCTTTCCGTAATAACCTTGTAGTCTCACGGAAAAACAACATATTGATTGGCTGTTGCGCGAACTTCCGCCGCGCAGCAAGCGTTCTGTGGGCAAGAACCATAAAACGTGAAAAGTAAGTGTGCGTATTTGTAGTATTTATTTATTATACATTATATGGTAAAATAAAAATAATCTAGTGATTTCTTTGTTGGGTGTAATGGCTTCTGCACACAGGAGCGGTAATGCTTGCCGCGCGGCGAAAGTTCACGCAACAGCCAATCAATATGCTGCTTTCCGTAATAACCTTCTAGCTCTTACGAAAAATAACATATTGATTGGCTGTTGCGCGGACTTCCGCCGCGCGGCAAGCATTACCGCGTCCTGTGTGCAGAAGCCATTACACCCAAAGAAATCACTAGATTATTTTTATTTTACCATATAATGTATAATAAATAAATACTACAAATACGCACACTTACTTTTCACGTTTTGTGGTTCTTGCCCACAGAACGCTTGCTGCGCGGTGGAAGTTCGCGCAACAGCCAATCAATATGTTGTTTTTCCGTGAGAGCTACAAGGTAATTACTGAAAGTAGCATATTGATTGGCTGTCGCACGAACTTCCGCCGCGCGGCAAGCATTACCGCGTCCTGTGTGCAGAAGCCATTACACCCAAAGAAATCACTAGATTATTTTTATTTTACCATATAATGTATAATAAATAAATACTACAAATACGCACACTTACTTTTCACGTTTTGTGGTTCTTGCCCACAGAACGCTTGCTGCGCGGTGGAAGTTCGCGCAACAGCCAATCAATATGTTGTTTTTCCGTGAGAGCTACAAGGTAATTACTGAAAGTAGCATATTGATTGGCTGTCGCACGAACTTCCGCCGCGCGGCAAGTGTTGCCGCATCCTGTGGGCAGGAGCCATTAGCCTACACGGTTGATGGCTAAAACGTGAAAAATAGTATAATACTATCATCATGCGCAAATATGTAAATTGTAATATTACGCATGCGTATTTCGCAATTCAAAACAATGTGGACAACTGCTTCAGTGAATTTTACTTTGTATGGTTGCATACTTTTTTAAAATTGAAATTATATGATAAAGAATTTTGCATAAAACATACAAAGAAAGGATTACAACAGAATATTACGCATTATAAATACAGATGTGCATTAAATAAAACAAGTTTATAATAATTATTACAAATATTTAGAAATTGCTCACTTTTCACGATTTCATGCTAGGGAAAAAAGTTATATGATCGATAGTAAAATTAAACATGAAAAGATTCATGATTGATGCCCTGGTACAATATATTAAAATGAGATAAATATACGTTTTCTCACTCTAACTTATTGCACTAGTTTAGCAGCATAGCTACAAAGAACAGGTCTTCTCTCTTTTTGGTTGTAGGCCTAAAGGGCGCCGCACACAAATTAACATAACAGTGGGTGCTTTCCAATTGCTTAACACATTTTGACACAAACGTATACAAAACCAATTTATTGGTCATATATTATCTTGTAAGAAAATATCTTGTAAGATAATACGCAACCAATAAACTGGTTTTGTATAACACAGTGTACGCAACTGGAAAGCACCCAGTAACGTAAGGGCGCCGTCCCACGGAGCGGAAATTTTCAGCGGAACGGAAGGTACGGAGTTAGCACGACCAATCACAACCGTTCCACTTTTCTTCCGGCGCTTTTTCTATTTTTCTTGTGTCCCATGGAGCGGAATACGCGGAAGCGGATCACGCGGAATAATACAAAAAGTAGACTTTTTAATGTTATTTTTTACGTTTTTAATAATTTTAATAATATTTTATACAAATGATATAATATATGATAAATTAGTAAAGAGTAAAATTAGTTTCTCAGTAAAATACTTTTTACAAAAATATGCAACTATTTTACGATTGGCTAATGGCTCCTGCCCATAGAACGCAGCAACTCTTAGGGCTATTGCACACAAATTGACATAACTGCATATGCATAGCATAAGATCGTATGGACCAATGAGCATCGAATATTAAGCATCGAACACCAATATGGCGACTTAATACTCGATGCTCATTGGTACATACGGTCTTATGCTATGCATATGCAGTTATGTCAATTTGTGTGCGATAGCCCTTACCGCGCGGCGGAAGTTCGCGCAACAGCCAATCAATATGTTGCTTTTCTGTGAGAGATTACGGAATGTACAAGATTATTACGGAAAGCAGCATATTGATTGGCTGTCGCACGAACTTCCGTCGCTCGGCAAGTGTTGCCGCGTCCTGTGCACAGGAGTTATAAAACATAATTGGGAGCGGTGCACTTGGACACGGTGCATTTGGACACAGCCAATCACAGCACCGTGATTAGAGACATTTGTAGGGTCCCTTGGAACAGCGACTTGTGATTGGACTGTATCCAATTGCCCCGTGTCCAACTGATATACACCCAACATAATTCCGCTGCCGCGTTTATCGCTGGGAGAGAAGGAAAAGTACATTCATGAGCGGAATTGCGATGGTACATTATGTAGTATAATAAAGTGAGATCTGTTGTGATTAATTATGGAGAATATATTATGTAATTTTTCTCGACTGTGGCTGTTAATCAAACATATAAACATATAAACATATTCACATATTATACATAATTGTTTACTACAATTATCAAAATATTAACATCTTATTACTTACGATCCCTCCACTCATCATTTCTAAACGAAATAATGAAGAATGTCGAAAAAAAGTATATATATATATATATATATATATATATATATATATATATATATATATATATATATA